GATATGTATTATGTGATTCTACCCTTGACTGTACATATCTTTTTTCAAGACATGAGGCCACCCGTGCACAAATCCTTGCCCTTCAAGCTCAGCTTGGCGCTGAATCTGGAGTGGACCCAGGAAGTGGCTCGCCAGGCCTGAGCGTTGGGTTCACAATTGCAGCTGCCATGGGATTGATATGGGGTTGGACCTCTAGTGTTCAGTGCAACGTCTAGCTGCAGAACATTTGTTTTTGACCATTATGCTCTAGATGTCTTGTACTTAGTGCAGCCTATAGCCATGATCATGGTATAGGTACTGGTACTGCCTTCCATGAGCCTCGTGCAGCTGGTCCCTTTGTCCCAGGGCTAGCCCAAGCTAATCTCTCTGACAGGGATTTGCCTGACATCCTGCGCGCAAAAACCCTCGTTTTGGGTCAGTCCCAAGAGAGCTTGGATGGTAATGCTCCTAGCCCAAGCCCACGCAGAATTGCCTTTACCCCTGGAAGCTCCACACATCAGAGCCCGGTTCAGACACATGCTCCAGGAGGCATAGATCTTTGCAGCCCCAGTCCAGCCCAACGTTTTTCCAGCTTGCCACCAGGGGCAGTGGTTTACAGATCCACGTCCGCAGACAGTTGTGGGAGCGGGACTACATTGAACTATGACAGTTACTGGAGGGTTCAAGATCGTGAGGACAGACACCGTCAATTGCAATGGCTATCAGCAGCAGCCGCCACCCCCGAGCATTCTCAGCCATTGGCACGCAGCCCATCTGTACAAGCAGGACTCCACATTACAAACCCTCCTGGCATGCCATCCAGCACACCTCATGCCAACATCGCAAACACACAGCCAGTCAACGTGGCTCCATCCAACATGCTTCAGTCTCCAGCCAACACTGCCAACGCAGGGCCAGTCAATGTGACACCATCCGACTCACCTCAATCTACAGTCAATACTGCAGCCAACGCACAGCCAGCCAACATGACACCATCCAACATTATGCTTCAATCTCCAGCCAACACACAGCCAGCCAACATGGCACCATCTGACACACTTCAAGCTCCAGCCAACGTGGCACCATCCAACACACCACAAGCTCCAGCCAACATTGCAGCCAATG